TAAAAACATTCCTTATAAAAAAATCAAAACTATTCATGAAATCAATTCAGATAAACTACTCAAACATTATTCACTCTATTATAGATACAAACAAATACAATACCTTAAAAATCATTTACAATTCCCAAATCTTTATAATCTTCTTCATGAATATAATACTAAATTTCCAAAAATTTCATTATTCAATTTCAAACATCTGATAATTTTCAATCTACTATTAAACAAGAATTTACTCAAATTAAATTAGTACTTAATACTTATTACTAACAACAAACCCAAAAAAAAATTCAACAAAAAATTGAAAACTAAAAACAACTCTTTTACTCACAATCAAAAAAATTCTTTAAAAATATTCTTGAAAAATACAATAGTATACATATTAACAGATTATTAAATCATAACATCTTACTGACAGAAGAAGATCAAATTAAACAAGCTATCCATACTTATTTTTCTAAATACTTTAATGAAAAATCTCTTTAACAAATTCAACCCAATTCTGAATATTATGAACTTTACCAACCTAATCCTGAATTTAAACTACATTATCAGAACTTATTTAATGATATCTCTGATAAAGAATGCCAAAGATTATTCAAAACCTTCTTCTCCAAAAAACCACTGGACCTCTTGAAACCAACTATGAACACATTAAATATATTGGCTATTTTGGCCAAATCTCTTTCAAACTATTTATTAACAAATGTTTTCAACTTCAAAAAATTCCATCTGATTAAAAAACATCTAACATCTTCTTTATTCCAAAAAAATCTTCATGGGACTTTACACTTAATCAAGTTTGCCCCATCTTAATTATAGAACTTATGAAAAAATATTTTACAAAACTTTTCATACAAAGACTTGACAATATCATTAACACAAACAATCTTCTCTTTAATCTTAATTTTGCAGCTACCAAAAACTCATCAACACACATTCCAATTCAAATCCTTAATAATACTATTAAACATTATAAACATTTTAACAAAAAAGTATGAATAATGTTTCAAGACATGTTCAAAGCCTTTGATAAAATCAACATATCTTGACTTCAAGATACTTGTAAAAGAATCAGTATTTTTTTATAAGGAATTCAACTTATTACAGAACTTCATACAAACCAACAAGCAAGAATTATCACTGCACATGGCCTTATATCACCTATTTATATTAAATTAGGAATAGAACAAAGTAAAACTAATTCATCTTTACTTTGAAAAATCTACTATAATTTGATTCTTTCTTTTATTTATAACAAATACAACAACCACCTATTCAAAATTACCTCCTCTTCACCTCTTAATATTATTTCAAACATTCCATCATTTTCTATAACAATATCTTCTATGGCCTTTATGGATGATACTGTTTGGCACAGTGAAAGTCCTAAATCTCTTCAAAGTATTCTTAATGATAGTCAAAAACTTTATAACTTAAATAATATTGAAATTAATCTGACCAAATCTGACCTTCTACATATTTCTCAAAACAAAAACAAACTAAATATTATTACACCAAATCTCTATTATAATAATCAAATAATACCTTTATGCAAGTCTCATGAAACTATATGATATCTTGATATCTATTTTGATAGGCATGGCTCAACTAAACCAACATATAAGATGCTTCAAAACAAAATTGAAAACTTTCTTGTTTTAATTAAATTCAAAAAATTCACATCTAAATAAATTTCTATTCTCTTCAATATAATACTACAATCATCTTTAGAATATTTATTACAAATCTTGTTAATTTCAAAAACATAACAACAAAAACTCTCACATTTACTCTCTATTAGAACAAAAAAGATGCTTCATCTTGCAAAAAATACATCAAATATTCTTTTTACTAATTCACTTTTATTTAGATTTTCAACTTTTTAACATCTAACTCAAAAAGTAGCAATATTTATAATAGAGCACATTTTTCATACTACTCCTCTTCTCAAACATATTGGCATAACCAGAATTAAAAACTGGCTAACTAAAATATAGCAACTCTTTTTTCTTCCAAATACTGCTTCTAAGTTTTCATTAAAAACAAAAAAACTTTATATTCATCTTTTAACTCTTATTCTTAAATAACTCAATATCTTTTTTTTACTTAATAACTCACTAAACTTGCTACCAGTTAATATTTCTACATCTATAAAAACAATATATGATATTCTTCTATCTAATAATTCTTATTCACTAATTAACAATCTTCGAAACAATAAAATACTCTTTATTAAACAACTTACAATAACTGATAATTTATATATTCTTTCATAAAATAACATATATATACATACTAAGAAATTTACTCATGGACCTACCCCATCTTGGTTTACTAAACTTTCCAATCTTATTTAAAACAATACAATTTCTCAAACATGGCCACATCTTAACTTACCAAATATCAATTCTTTTGATACAATCACTCCTTATTATTTATTACTATTAAATAAATAGTTTATTGTCTTTAATAATTCACAAATTCTCTTCACAAAAAATTTATTTAACTTTTTCTTCTTTTATAACATCTCTTTCAGGTTAATATCCCTAATTCCTACTAACTTATCTACACCAATTTTTCAAACTTCTATTAATATTTCTCATGTTAAATCACTAAAAAAGAATAACAACTATTTACTCTACATTGATAATCATGAAATTCATATACTTATTAATATTCAACAACATGTAACTTCAACTTCAATATTACTCCAATTATCAATGATTTACATTCCTGATACAGAAATTCAAATAATCCAAAAAACATATTCTCTTCTCAATACCAAAACCAACTTACTAACCTATTTCTATTAGCTAAAAACCTTCCAAATCATACACATTTCTACACAGATGCTTCAATTATTGATGCATAAACACCATATTCAAAAATTGGTATTAAATGGATTTTTGAACATAATATCCAAATCAAATTCAACTGAAAGTTCTAATAAAAATCTTAATAAAAATTAAAGTCTACTAAAAGTCTTACTGAAAATTCTACTGAAAATCAAAAATTCTATTAAAAGTTAAAAGTCTTATTATAAGTTGAAAGTTCTACAAAAGTTCTACCAAAACTTTACTAAAAGTTAAAAACCTACCAAAAGTCTTATTAAAAGTCCTATTAAAAATTGAAAATCCTATTGAAGTTAAAAGTTCTACTAAAAGTTCTACTGAAAATCAAAAGTCTTTCAAAAAGTCCTATCTAAAGTCAAAAGTCCTACTGAAAATTCTATGGTAGAACTTTCAACTTTTGGTAGAACTTTTAATCTTCAGTAGAACTTTCAGTAGACTGTTGACTTTAGGACATTTCAATAAACCAAATCCTGTCCAAAAGTACTTTCAGTATACTTTCAGTTTTGATATATACCAAAAGTACCTACTTTTGAAGTCATCTTTAGTGAGTGGGTTAAAAATTTATAATGATTAATGGTTAATATTTAATAACAGACTTTTAACCATAATTCTTTAGTGGTTTCTACAATATGATTTAATGAATTCGACATTATATGAATTCATAATTAAAATAGGTAAATTTATAATTTAGCAATATATTAATACTTTCAAAAATAGTGGACTCATAATTTCAAGAATAGTTAGATTCTAATTTCTACACTGAGTTCATTATTTTAACAATAGGTGGGTTCACTATTTGAGTAGTGGATGTGTTAATGATTTAACAGCAGGCACATTAAGGATTTTAGCTGTGTAGATTTATAATTTTAGTAATGTCTTCAATGGTAGAAGATATCATTCAGCAATTCCAATTCGTGGCTTTGACAGTAGTAGTCCATGATCTAATAGTAACGTAGTATGACCTTAACAAAGGACGTGTTTGTGATTTAATAGCGGGATGCTAATAATATTAGACTCATGGTTTTCAATAGTGGATTACTTTATGATTTCATCAGTGGAGTTGATTTTTATAATATTTACAATACCAGATCATTTCACTAGTACATGTTATAATTATAATCCCTACACCATTTTTATTATAATAAAATTATGTGGGATTATAATAATAATGATATGTACTAGCGGGATGGTTTAGTATTGTAAAATAATTTTTTATATGTTGCACACCAGATGACAAATCAGTCGTGTAACATCGACGGTTCCTTAATATTATCAAAGTTAAAATTAGTATAACATGACGAATTGATTCAAAACGGGGGCGCTGATTACACCCATTTATTCTTGTATTCTATATACAGTATGTGCGTAATAGAAAATATTACTCATTATTAGTTATCAATTTATTAACTCCAAAGTTGTTAGTCTACTTATAAAATTAAGCAATACATAGGATATTAACGTTTATGCAATCAAATTATTAATAATTCAATAATTTGTGTACAAGAAAAATAGTGAAAATACGAGAAAACTGTTATTTAAATTGATCTTTGAACACCAATAAAAGATGACATTATCATAATTTTATGTATAATGGTATTTTAAGAGTCTAGAACAAGAACTCTATTCTAACCGTAACATAAAACCGAAAAGCTTATCTAGACGTGACTAGAGATGTGTTTATGCGCATTAATGCACATGTTATTATAATATACACAGTTTCCCCATCACTAGACGTGACACACTATTTGGCTGCAAAAGTGCCCAACCCCTGGTAAAGGTATCAAGTACTTCTAACACTGCACATTGTACCATAAAAAAAAAAACTATAGCGTAGGGCTATGTAAATATTACCGCGTCAATAAATAATTTTGATCAAAGGTAAATCCGAAAAAAAACTTCAAACATTGCCAATAAAATCTAGTAAACATACATTAATTTAATCAGTAAACATAACAATCCTTTTTTTTAATAATTAGAGTTGGATATAATTTACTGTAAGTTGCACAGTCGTTCTCCTCTACAGTCACCTCCTATATGACCAACTCTCTTTATAAGCACCATTTTTTGAAAAATTAGTGGTAATACATTTTTAAATCTATACTTGGTCGAGTTTCATTTAATCTATTACACTCTACACAAACATTAGTAATGACTCCTATCACTCCAATAACAGATGAACAAATTGCCATTATGTTCAGCTTATGTATTCCTCTGAATATTATTTCTCTCATTTTTTTCAACTACTTCGTGCATAACATTTGGCTTTATACGAATATACTATCCTAAACTCGCAGATAGGGTTTCATTTCGTTTAAGTTTTGCAGCCTTATTCTGCGATATAGGTTATTCTGGTCATCTTTTGGCTAATCTTTTTTATAATACTCCCGGGTTCTTTTGTGGATACATAGTATGATATATATTAACTTCTTCGGTATCCAACAGCTTTTTTTTTTGTTATGTTTTTTATTTAATTGCCTTAATTTCCTTCGGATCTTTTTATATATAAGATTTGGGCAACGGTGTTTTTCCTTCATACTTCTACATTTTTAATAAGACATTGGTTTCTTCGATTGTCAAAAGGATCGTCTGGTATCCTGTGGTGCCATTAATAGCTCAATTTTTTAGCTCTTTCGTTGAAACATACGCTTATATTAATCGAGTGATCTCTTTTCCTCTATTTTTACTTTGCTTCATTGGCGTATCAATTCAAGGTGTATATATAAGTCATAATTTTTTTCTTAATTGTTGATAATTCATGATTATTTTGTTTATCTAAACTTTCGAATCTTAGGATTACTGAATGCATTGGTATTTTCTCAAGATATTGCTGTTACTCGTGCTTTCCAAGCTATTAAACTACGATGGTGGATCACCAATGTTAACTTTTATGAGTCTCATTATCCTCATCGATCTCACAACAAATCCATTAGAGATGCGTTCGGGACGCAAGGAAAATCCAATGATTTTGTTGAATTGCAAACTCTAAATCACAATAATTCTGATATCACTAAAAGTGATATCAATAATGTTATCGATGACGATATTATTAACAACAATGTTGTGAATAATAATATTAATCATAATAATTTGGTTTCACAACCTTCTATTTTAGAATGGTTAAGATACATGCTATTGATTAAACTTTTTTCTCCTCCAAAAAATTCATCTTTATTAATTTCATCTAAACATTCATTATCGACCAATTCTTCTAATGCCGATAAACCTAATGCCACTTCTCTACTTGGAAAGGATTATTTCAAGAATTATATAACTCTTAATAATCAAAATGATGATCAAGATATTCATTTATATAATCCTGAACCTGTTCATTTAAATGACCCTTCTCAATATTCCTCATTGTCATCCGATCTCTTGACAGGCAACTATAGAACTAATCAAATTAATCAAACCTATATAAGCAAGATAAATAATGCAAATGGAATAGATATATCAAATTGTGCGGTTGATGATGATGAAGGACGGATGGATGTTGTACTTGTTAATTATGAACCAACAAAAAGAATATCGGGATTTACCAAAATATTTAGTTCAGACATCGATTTACCTCGAGAAATTGAAACTTTTGAACCAATATTAAAAATGTTATAACTTTTTTTTTCCAATATACTTTTTTTCAATTAGTATAGAATAAATTTTTTCATTTGTGATTTAATATTATTTATAATAAACCATTACAAAAACCATAATAATAATTGTGATAATAATGAATCGTAAGTATTTTATTTTCATTAGATACTGTACTATTGAATATATTTTTTTATTTTTTATTTACGCTTTAACAGCAAGTTTGTGTTTACACCCATATTCGAAAATTTTACGTTTTACTATATACACATAACTTGTACGTAACTGGTAGGTATAATATGACGCTAACTAACAGTACCCGGTGCTGTTAAACTCAACTATAAAACTGTTTAGATTATAAAGTTTTGTGATCCCATTCTCGTATACAACACATGATTAGGTTTGATAAACTGATTTGTTCTTCGTTGTTTGTTTAGTGTTGCAGTGTACAAAACCATAATGTTTGCGATCGTACATACCTGCATAGGCAAATTTTTAGAATGATTAATAAAGTAAGTGCATGCGATAGAAGCTATTCTAAATAAATTTCATCATGTACCCTTCCTTATTCGTACAGTACGTACCGGTACCGGTAGAAATCGAATTTACTCCACTTGGAAATGATGAGCAAACCGCGTGGCACAGTCGTTTAAAATCTTAAATTTATTAGCTTTGTTAAATGGATTTACAAAATTAAAGAAAATGGTAAAATAGAAGCAAAAAGGTAAAACGAAGAAATTAATTAAATTTATTTCATATGTAGAGTAGAAATGTTTGTCCCTAACTAAGGCCGCTTGCAATTGAATTTTCGGGTAACATCACTTTTAGAACTCTTGTGAGTGGGGGGATAAAATTATACAAACATATAGAATGAACTAATATGAGACAATTTGATTGGTCGATATAGTTCAAGTAATTGGTGAGAGTTATCCAACGTTTTGATTGATTGTTCATTTCTTGGGAGGAGCCTTCAGCCTGGGGCGGTGATTTTAACCGAAGAATCAATTTCGAACGGCCTAAGTTCCTTAAAATACGCTTACCTTGAGTCGTTAAAATTCGTCGTTATAGTTAAATCTTGTCCCAATGACCATCGTATACCCATTTTCGTACTGAGTAAAATAAAGAGAAAGTGTATTTATTAGTAATTAGATCTCTAAAATATTAAATACGAACTTGATTATTGTTAAAATTGATACCCCTTAGTTGATCTGAGTCGTGACCGCGACCACGTGACATCGAAAATCGAATTCATAATTGAATTAATTACTAACGAAAGAAGTAGAGTAATAAGAGAGACAATCAAATTACCGAAACAGTAGTAAAGGACACTTATCTGGGCACGACACTATTACTAAAACCACAATTAACCCTAGTTACTCGGACCAATTCTTTCCACGCCTCGATCGAAGCCTTACCGCTACATGATTGGCTAATCTTTGAAGCTATCTCATCATAATAAAGTCTTATTAAAGCAACGATTTTCTGTCACTAGAGTACATAAAAATGAATTCGGGCCACGAGTGCGAATTCAGGAAGCTTATTATATAAATATTTATAAATTACACCTTCTATTCTATAACATACCAAAGCAATTTTGTAATTGACAAAGTTAAATGCGAGGTATGTTTAGGCGTTTCAATTTAACCAATATAATTTACAATGTATTAAACTTGGTAAATTTAAGTCATTCAAAAGGTTTACAACGCTAATCTATTTATTTATAATTTATTTATTTTTCTAAAGGCAGACGTGTGCTCCAGCAAATAGATTAATGACATGAAGCATTAAAGCAAGAACATGCGAGCTTTATGAGAGGTTAAAATAGTGTTACATGTAAGATAATGTTACATTAAAGATTATTAATTTAGAATTATTCCTAAATTCATTTGACATTAATTAACTGTTACATATTATGCCTCATTAAAAAAATTTTTATATGGTTTTTATTGTCCCCTAAAATAAATGGTTTATATTGTTTATCTGTTTTCCGAACTTTTACAATTTTTTTATAAATTTGTGTAATAATACTTTTTTTAAATAAGGTCTTGGATTTTGTTTGTATTGGGATGATAATTTTAGCCTTCAGTTAATAGATTTCGTAGTAATGCGTTTATTAATGCCAATTGATTTTATATGGTATTAATAAATATTTATATCAGATACAGTTTCATATAAATTTGTTTTGCAATTAACCATTTCGATTAACCAATGATATTATTGCAATATCATGGAATGATCTACAAAATCAATGAAAGCCAGCTATGGTTAGAATAATTTGCTTAGTGTTAGTGGTTGTGATGAGTTGTATATTTCGACCCGACCTATTTCCCGACGCAGCTCACACTTTCACGTATATGATTATTTCTTAATCGGTGACTCTATTGAAGAACATATGGAAATTTGTTCGTCATCAAAAGGCTTTATGTCTACATACTAAATATTACATTCTTAAAACAACACCATCTAGGATTTCATGGCAGCAACCTAAAACGAAGCTATGCGCTAGAAAGAATATCACTAAACCTTTACTAATTAATAATATCTTATACAATCGTCATCCAACACAGCTATTTTCTATATAATCATAATCTATACAATCTCAATATTTGATTACCAATTATTTAAAATTTTACATATAATTACAAAAGGCTTATAATCACCATTATATTTTCTCAAAATTTGTTGACCAATTTTAAAAATAAATTCACTTCTTTATAATTTCATTGACTTACCCTCATATGTATACAAAAATAAACGTCGCTTATCGAAATCGTGCGCATTATTATAATATCATATTGCTAAATACCACTATGAAAACCAAGGAGCATATTAAAAAAATTCTAAAAGGTCGGAAAGAATGCATTGATAAGTTGAGATGGTAATACAGTGACAGAATCTTCATGGAATTATAGGCATTAAAGCATTATTGCAATGTGATTTACGGTAATTACATAAACAATATAAACTTTTTTTTATATTATTTATAACTACTAACATAGCATTTCCAGTTCCTGATTTTAGTGGTTATAGCGCAAGTACGTCACGTAGCTACCTTTTTGATACACCTAAACAAACCATAAAATTTAGTATCAAAATCGTAAGTTTTCATGTCAGGGAATGCGTATGTACACTGGTCCTTGGGGTTTCCGATATACTAATCAAATCTATGTAATAAAAACCAGTAGTACAGATTTTGTGCATAGGTCGGTAAAATCTTTAAATTTACTAGCGAAGACTAATGTTCAAAAAATTGATTCATCTCATGTGCCAACTATTTTTTTCGAGCAATCCATACATCAAATGATTAGTTTAATATAATTAAACAAAGCTATAGTTTAAATTTTTAATTAAGTTTTGAAAAAACTAGTGCATTGTTCAAGCTAAAAAAATGATAAAAAATAAAATAAAAATAAAAATTTTAAACTAATCGTTTAATGTATAAATTGCTTAAAAAAAATAGTTAATTCATGAGATGAAGCAGTTTTTTGAACATAGATTTTGCCGATCTATGCATAAAATCCGTACTACCGGTTTTTATTACATTGTTAGACCCGAAACACGTGATCTACGAGTGATGTGGGATCTTCGCCGTATGACCCTAAGTCACACTCTCTCGGCTATGTAGATCATATACCTTAAATGGG